ATTCAGGAGCCAGTGACCTGGCCCTCAAAAGGAGCTATAAATGCAAGCCTGGGGGACCAGCTAGTGGTCATCAGGAATGACAGGAAGTGAAGCTGGCATGCATGTGTGTGTTTAGGTCTCAGGGGATAGTCTCTGGGCTTGGTTAAGGACACTGGCCAGGCAGGCCAAAGCCAAACAGAAAATGCTGCCGCCAAGAAGACTCCAAGGAGAGATGTGGCCCCAGGTGGCTTCTGGAAGAGCAGGAAGCTCTTCTACAGATGAGTGCTTGCCAGGGACCAAGTTTCCTGGTGCCACCTGTCCCTCTCTCACTTGCAGGGAAGGTGACCTGCATGTCCACACCAAATGACAGGCCTACACCACTGGGAAGGGGTACTTATGGATCTAGGGTCCCAGGCGCAGAAGTTTAATCAGGCCCACTTCCAGCCAGCCTACCCTGATAGCATGGCAGCAGTGCTGGCCACCCCCTGTCTGGGGTCCTCCAGGGAAGTCTCAGGCTGCATCTCTGACTACTGCCCTCACATACACACACTGCTGGCTTGGGGTGCTCTAGATATCAGGTCACAGGCTGGCTAGGGGGAAGGGACCATTTGCACCATTTCTTGTGATTTTCCATGGCACCCAGCCCTGTGCCAGCTTGCTGAGGTGGGGATATGTGCCTGTCGAGGGCAGGGCTGCCAGGACTGGTGTCTGTATTGTCTTTTGTCCATCCTGGAACACCTTTGAGCCTGAAAGGGAAGCACTACTTGTAATCATGCAAGTCAACAGGCACAAAGTAGGACTGTTCCGGGCAGATGGGGACAGGCAGTCACTATGCACAGAGCAGATGGCTCAGCTGTGTATCAGCGTGGAAGGCTGAGCAAGGTGTGCCTCCTTATCAGGCAAGGGGCACTTCATATGTCCACTCTCAGCTCTGGCACCAGCAGCTCCCCTTGTTGCCTGGAGTTGCAGCGTCAGACACATGACAGAAGGCTCCTGTTCTGTGACCCTCTATCAGTCTCAGGGGAACCTACGCTCTGAAGTCCCTCCTCACAGGGAAAGAGGGGCAGCCAGAAATGTGGAGGTTGATCCCCAGCAACTCTGGGCCCTTCAGGATTTTGGGTATCTGGTGCCTGTGTCCCCAGGGGCCACTGCAACTCAGGACAACTATCTGGTTTGAGCTACAGTATTTTGGTTTATAGATGGCAGGCAGTCCATGGTCCCCTGGGCCAATGCCCGTCTGGGACTCAAGGCCTTTTCCTAAGGCTTTTTTTTTTTTTGGAGACAGGGCCTCACTATGCAGTTCAGGCTGGCCTTGAACTCACTATGTGGCCCAGGTGGGCCCTGAACTTGAGGCAATCCTCCTGTCTCAGCCTCCTGAGTGTTGGAATTACAGGCCTGCGCCACCACACCCAGCTCCTAAGGCGCTTGTACCCCTGGGCTGTTGGTGCTGCTTGCCAGCTGCTGTCTCTGCTCTGGCTGGGCGGGTGCTTCTACTGGGCTTTGTGTGGGGAGGTGTGAGGGCGGTGGCCCTCCTGCTGTGGCCCTTGCAGACACATACTGCTCTTTCCCAATCCCTCCATCTCTGACCGTCATCATATCGGGTGTGGCCACCAGGACCTTTGAGGAGGGAGAGGCCACCTGTGCAGCCATCCTGCCCCTCCTGATTGCCTCTTTCTCTACCTCCTTTGGTTCCTTCAAAGCAGGTGCTCCTGAGGCTCTGTCCCTAGTCCCTCTCTTCTCTTCTCCCTCCATCTTCTTTCTGGGAGATTAAACTCCATGCTCCTGAAAGGATCCCATCTTTGTCCCTTCTGTCCAAGTTCCCCATATCCTTCCTACCACCACGTATGAGCACCTTCATATCAAAATATGCCTTCCTTGGGCCAGGGATTTAGCTCAGTGGTTTCGCCGCCTGCTATGCAAGCACAAGGACCTGAGTTCGTTCCCTGGTACAAAAAAAAAAAAAAAAAAAAAAGCCATCCTCTTGGAGGACACGATCTCCCCAAAAGGGCTGCTGCTCAGAACATTCCTAGTTTTTCAAAGGCAGAACCCTCCCAGGCTTGGTGTCAGGACCTCCTGTCTATTTCCCTTCCACACAGCCTCTCCTGATCCTACAGCAGTCTCCACCCTCCCACTTGCCCTTCACGTCACGTGGGGCAGACTGGAATATGGCTTGGCCTCTGTCCCGTTTGCTTATTAATGCCAACTCCACTCAATTCTGCTCCCAGCATCCCTGAGCTCTGGGGCATATGTCCTAAGTGTACAGCTTAACTCTGCATACACATATACCCACGCCATGTCTGCCTGGGCAAAGGCCCCTCGCCATGTATAAGGGAGCCAGAAGTGTAGGGATTGAAAAAGAGCTGTGAGTGCCAGAAAGGAGCAAGGTCATGGAAATTTAGGGATAATTTCCTGGAAAAAAGGTCATGTGATCTGGACCTTATAAAACAGAAGTAGCCCTTTGCAGTACTGACAATAACTGTGAAAAATGAGAAAAACCTAACTTTCATTGGGAGAGTGGATCAACGCACCATAGAATGCTCTCAGAGGAACTGCTGTTAAAATGGCCCAGCAACTGCATAAATCTCAAGAATGTAATGTTGGGTGAAAAACGCAAACTGAAGGATGATATGCACAGCAAGTACCATTGATATAAATTCTAAGGACATGTAAAGCAATGCTATACTTTGTTATGGATACAGATATTTGTGGTAAGAGTAGAAACAGATATATGGGAATGATGAATGTCAGATTCACCCTTGAGAGACAGGCAGAGAGGGGAAAGGGAGGAGGGCAGGGAGTTGCAGCTAGGTTCTGTTCCCCTGAAAGGAGCAAGGGGAAGAGATCTAAGGCAAATATAGCAAAATGTTAACATCTGTTCAAGATGGGTGATTACAGGTTCATGGGGCTTGTTAGATTATTTCCTTCTCAGTTGTGGATTATTTTGTAACTAAAATTTTAAAGGAAGTTAAACTAAAAAACAGAAAGGGAGGCAGCTCTCCATACACACAGGCCAAGCATCCCCTACTGAGGCTGTGTGAACCAGGTGCAGGGGAGGAAGACTGGGGCACAGCTGGCGAAGGCCAGAGCAGGGGTGTAGGGATGGGGCATGGGGATGGAGCACAGGGAGCTGTAAATCCTGGCTGGGAGAGGCAGGTGTTAGGGGGACGCTAAGTGCTTAATTGTTCCCTCCTCCAAGTGCGTTGCTTTCAGAACGTTCCTCACTCTATCCCCACAGCAGCCTTTGCCGGGTGATTTCCAAGTGGGGGACTCACTCATTCCTTACCCTGAGCTGGGTGCCAGTGTACCCGACACTCACTATATGCCACAATCACATTCACATATGCAACTCTCTGGATCTCAGAACAGCCCTCCAGGCCAGCATTCTTCTCATCGCCACTCTGAGATGATGAAATAGTGGCACAGAGAAGTGAAGGGATTTGCCTGACCTTACACAGACAGTAAGAGGAGAGGTGGGATTTGAACCAGCTTGTCTGGCTTTAGAGGCCATGACCTTACTGTGACACTCTATTGCTCCCCACACACCAGGCACTTTTGTCAGGGCAGTGGACTCAGGGATGACACAGTCAACAGGGCCTCGCCCTCACAGAGAGTCAGGGCCAGTGGTGGAGTCAAACACCAAACCCAGTGACACACATAGATGTCACTATAACTAATGATCTAGTGAAGAAAGAGAACTTTGTGCTCTCAGAGAGAGAATAGGGAGGACACAACTTGAGACTGATGGTCTAAGAGGAGGGACATTTAAGCAGAGACCTAAAGAATGGAGAGTAAGCCAGGAGGGGATGGGGTGGTCCAGACGGGGGAAGAGCAAGAGCAAAGGCCCTGAGACAGCCAAAGGCTTGGCAAGAAACCAGGGTGACAGGCACATCCAGTGACCAGGGGGCAAGACAGACAGAGGTCCCAGTTCGTAACTGTGGTCGTAACATAAACACTCATTGGTCCCATTTTGGTGTAGACAATAACAAATTTGAAGGCCACCTTCGCTGGGCCCTGGTAGAGAGTTTGGATTTTGTTCCCAGGGCGGTGGGAAGGCATTGAGGGACCTGTGAGGAGAGTGGCACGTCCAATTTATGATGCATAAAGGTCACCGTGGCTGTTGTGTGGAGAGGGCCTGCAGACAGCAGGAGGGAGGCTATTGTCTCTTCCCTGACTCAGCTTCACAAGGTGGCAGGGACCGTGGACAAAGTGACACAGAGCAAATGTCCCCAGAGAGCAGTACCCTTCTCTCTACACTGGCCCAGCCCCCAGGTCTTGCTCTAGGGCTTCCAGGAGAGGCCTCGAGGGGTGAGAAGAAGCCCCTGAGAACAGCTGTCCACCTCCTGGAACCGCAGGGCAACTTGTTAAGGAACCAGGAAAGGTCCCCAGAATGCAAATGGGCTCAGTAAATGTAAGAAGTCATGATTAACTAAATTAACTGTTCATTTGAGAATCTGTCCCTCCCTTTCCTTCGCACACTCACAGACCCCTCCTCCAGCCACTCCAGGAGGAGATTCAGAAGCAAGGGCCCCAAGCCCTCTTACAGACACCAACCCGGACTAATTTCCAAGCAGATACATGTTGGGGACAGCAGGCAGCACCTGGTGTCTGCTGATGTGCGTGGTGACTGGTCAGGGCTTGCTGCCCACGAATGAACACACACTGGCCAACCTACTCCTTGTATCTATTCTGGCAAGGGGAATACATAGAGGGTCACAGACACTGATGCCCACATACTAGGGGCAGATGTCTGTACAGATTTCCACGGAATTTTTAGTCAGAGTTGGGAATGTGAAACAAGGCCAGGGTTTGTAAATGGCAACAAAGAGGGAGAGACAGCGAAGTATGCTGTAAAACGAAACTTCCAAGTTCGAAGAGCCTCTCTTCTCCTTCTACAAAGTAAGAGACCAGGCAAGTTGCTACATCAACTTCCCAGGTCAGGTGAGGGGTCCCCCTTCTCTGCCAGGATGGCACAACCACAGGCTGGGGAGGAAGGGCAGGGCCTCGCGGGAGGGATCACTCACCAAGCGGCAGGACGAAGAAGAAGGGGAACCAGCAGAGCACGAAGACGCCCACGACGATGGCCAGCGTCTTGGCAGCCTTCTTCTCGCGGGAGAACTTGAGGAGGCGCACTGAGAGCGAGCTGCGGAAGGTGTGGCCCTTGGTGCTCCGAGTTCCGCTGTGCGCCCCGTCGGCACCGGTGGCTGCCCCGCGACAGTGGATGCGCAGCACCACCTCCGAGGCCTTGCCCCGCTCGCGTTTGATGCCGGCCTCCAGGCTGCGCGTGGTGCTGCGCGCTACTATGTACACGCGGCAGTACATGACCACGATGACCGCCATGGGAAGGTAGAAGGAGCACAGCGAAGAGAAGACAGCGTAGCCGGCCTCCTCCGTGATGCCACAGAAACGCTCATCCAGGGGCACGGGCTCCTTCCAGCCCAGCAGCGGCCCCACCGACACCACGAGGGCCACGGCCCAGAGCAGCGCCAGGATGGCGGCCGCCTTGCGCTCAGTCATGATGGCCGGGTACTTGAGCGAGTGGCGAACGCCCACGTACCGGTCCACGGAGATGGTGCACAGGCTGAGGATGGAGGCGGTGCAGCACAGCACGTCCACGGCTGCCCACACGTCGCAGAAGGCCCGACCGAAGGCCCAGAAGCCCAGGACCTCCATGGTGGCAGAGAACGGCAGCACGGTGGTGCTCAACAGCAGGTCGGCCACGGCCAGGTTCACAATGAAATAGTTGGTGACCGTCTGCAGGTGGCGGTTGCAGGCCACCGAGAGGATGACAAGCAGATTGCCCGCCACGGCAGTGAGGATGAAGGCTGCCAGAAACACGCCCACGCCCACGCCCTGCGCGCTCACCACCAGCCCCCCGACGGCCGCCGTGCCGTTCACCTCGCCTCCCGCGCCCGCGGCCCCGGGTTCCCCGGCCGAGCTCCGGTTGTCCTCACTGCCGCCCGCGCCCACCACGCCGCCACCGCCGCCGCCTGCGGCCCCTGGCACACCGCCCACCGCTGGGCCCTCCGAGGCCGCCGTGCCGCCCGCGCCGCTCCCGCCGCCGCCAGCCCCGGAGCCCCCGGCGCTGCCGTCCGGGCGGGGTCCCTCGAAAGTGACGCTGAGGAGGTCGCGGAAAGTCATCTCAACGCGCAGCCGTCGGGGGCCGGGCCGGGGCGCAGGACGAGCGGCGGGCAGGGAGGGGGACAGTGGGCATTGCTGCAGGGCTCTGGGTCCAGCCCCGCGCGCCAATCCGTCGGGGTCTTTTCCAAGTTCTTGGGACGCGGAGCCGGCTGCCCGAGCACGGAGCTGCCAGGCCGGGCGGCCGGGGACCCTGGAGCCGGCTGAGCGCTGAACGGAAGAGCGGGGCCCCGGGCCGCGCGCCGCTCTGAGAGTTCCCGGGCGAGTGGGCAGAGCGGTGGCTCCGGGACCCGGCGGTGCCGGGTGCGGCCACTGCGGCGGCGCTCCTAACTCCGCGCGGGGGGCGGGACGGAGGAGGGGCGGCGCAGGGAGGGAGGAGGGGGCGGCCAGCGCCCAGGAATGGGGCCGTGCTCCGCGGGAGAAGGGACTGCGTGGGCCAGCGGGGTGCCGGGGTCTGGAGGGGCTGCGGGGCTGGTGCGCGCTCGGCCCAGCGGAGGCCACTTACGCCTCGCTGCGGGCGCCTCAGACCGCCCTCTGCCCTCGCGGTGCCTTTCGCGCCCCCACCCGCTCCTCTCCTGGGCCCTCACCTCCTTTGCCCTCAGCTGCGTCCCTCTTCCGCCCGCCCTCTCCAGCCTCCGGGTCACTCGCCGGTTGCCCTTGGGCGCGCGGAGCTCAGAAGGCGCGATTCCCAGGTCTCCCGGTTCCGGCCGCCAGAGAGCAGCAAGCGTCCGGGTTCTGCGGACTGCGGGCTGGACCGCGCGCTGGACCGCGCAGTGCCGCGGCGGGTTGCCTCCTGAGAGTACCTGGATGAACTATGTACCTCCTTCCTTCTCCTAGTCCATTGATCGAGGCACGGTCTCAGGCACCACTGCCCAGCGCGGTGGCGAGGAGAGAGCCCCGGAAGCGGCCAGAGACCATGTGAGTGCAGCCCTCGGATTCTACCCACCACACAGTGATCGACATAATACCAACTTTTGCTCTGTTACTTTACTCCCTATCAGATGTCAGAATAAATCTTCTTACTGCTTCTCCAAAAATGCAGCCTCCTTCTGGGGAGGGAGGGCTGAAGTGCTGGAGGGTGGGAAAGGTCACTTGGCAGAATGGTTAACTGGGGAGGGAGGAGAGATGTCTGGCTCCAAATATCCAGGCTGCATCCTTAGTAGCTGTGTTTGTGCCTCAGTTCCTCATCTGTGAGATGAGAAGTCGTGTCGACCTAACGGAGGGACAGTTACATGGATTAACCTGTGTTAGGCAGTGCTTGGGTGTGTCAGCTGAGGGAGGCTTGGCAGACAGGATCTGCACAGGGAGGATAGGGGGGAGAGGGGATGTCACACCGGTATGAAGCAGGCACACAGGTAGAGGAAAGGGGAGGAAGGCCTCTCACTGACCAGCGGAACTGGCAAGAAGAGACACGTGGAGATAATTCACTGAGCCAACACAAAAATCCTTATCAGGCTGCTGTCAGGTGACAGCACCATTCTGGACACTGGTGACAGAGGAAGGAGGGACTGCAGGGAGGACAGTGTCACCCAGTAGGTGCAGAATGAGTCATACAGGCAAACGAGGGTCCGTTTGGAGAGCTGTCTGGGAGAGGCGAAGCCATGACCTCAGTGTTCCCTGGCTGTGGATGGCACAGGGGCAGGATATCTGAGTGTCCTGGATGACAGAAGTGGCTTTGAGAAAGCCGAAAATGGGATACATGTTGAAAGATGGGTAATCTTCTCTCCTCATCCACTAGCCCAGAAGGCCAAAGCCGTTGTATTCACAGCTTAGACACAGCTCTTCCAAGGTCCTCAGGGACCTGTTAAGTCTTCCCATAGCCAGTTGAAATGAGAGCAATATGACTTATAAGGATTAACTGGCAGTTGACCTACAGCGTAACTCTGGGTTTGAGCTTCCTCTCTGAAGGAGATGGGCAGAGAGTACTGAAAGGGGAGGCCAGAGGCTCCTCACTGGGGAGTGTTGGATGATAGGCCCAGTGTCCATGCCTGGCTGCCCTCTTATAGAGTGATGGAGTCCACCTGGGTTTTGGGCTTGCTCAGTTTTCAAAGAAGACTGAGAATAGGAAGCATAGCCCAAAGTCTGGAGCTGGGGTGCTAGGGAACCACTTGGCTGGTGTCACATAAAGGTCAGTGACTGCTTTTTGTCTAGAGAGGGAGAAGGCTAGCTGGAGGTATCTCTATCAGCAGGGTGAGGTGAAGGTGGGACAGGGCTCCTAAAAGGAGATGGGGCAGTGTTACCCCAATTCAGGTGTCTGTAGTTCTCACAAAGTCTTCAAGAGAATTCCAGAAGTTCTTGTGGAAGGAACATGGAGAGCAGGAGCTGTGAAATCATTTGTCAGTTTCGTGTACCAGCTCAAATCCAGAAGGAAATTAGAGGCACATATGGTGCTAGGAGCAGAGAGTGGAGGAGCTGATCTCTGAAGGGAGGTCTCAGCACTGGAGGGGCTAGAATAAAGCCCAATGCTTCTCCAAGTACACCATCCACATCCATGTATTTGCTTCATGGGATGCCTCATGGGTACCTGAAATTAAATATGATCTAAATTAAACTCACCATTTGGACAGCCAAAGCCTTAACTTGTTCTATTACCTTATGAAAATGAAACCACCCTCCAGGCAGCTGCTTACAGCTAGAAACCTAAATTCCTCCTTTGGGTCATCTCTGCCCCCAAACTAGCCAATCTTAAAGTTTTGTTGATTAGTTTTTGCCTATTTTACTTTGTGAATTCATCTCTTCTCTTTGTAGTTTGTACCTAAGGTCAGGCCCTGATCATTCCTCATTCCAATTTTCATTTCTGCTCCAATAATGCCTTTTTCCAGTATGTTTCCAGTTTTTCCAGTATGTCGGCTCTTCCTAAGTAGAATCATTTTACTCTTTTAAAAATATTTCATTGATGACTCACCAATGATTGAAGATCATAGAACACTTGGTCTGGTGGGGCTGGACTCTTTCCTGTTTCTTCTATTATTTTTTACTGGGATGGTGGTTCTCAAAGTGATTAGTTTGGGAGGTGATGCCAGGAAGCATGAGACTGGGCCACATGGAACTCTAGGATTTACTTGTGCTACAAGTGAATGAGTATAAGACTGAGGCTTTTGTACCTGGAACGTTTTTCACATGAAATTTGTGTTTGAGCATCTCATACATGAATAGACACTGTCCAGATGTACATTCCCTCCCTAAATGGCTAGGACCTCCTCAGGGTCTGGAAACTCAGACTCTCGGGTGCATCCTCACTGCATTCACATCAAGAGTCTGTTCTACAATCATGCTCAAGGGCTTCCTGGAGAACATTTCAGGAGAGTTTAAATGCAGTTTGGGTCAAGAATGATCTTCCATTCTTCTTTATTCCTTACCTTGACTTGGCCTATGGACATATGGCCATCCTTCTTTTTTGTTTTTTTGTTTTTGGTACCGGGGATCAAACTTGGATCCTTGCGCTTGCACAGCAGGTGGCGAAACCACTGAGCTAAATCCCCAGGCCCGTGGCCATCCTTCTTTATGGAAATGTTGGGGATGTCTCTGTCACTGCCTTGAATGTGACCTGTCAGTGCCCTCACCTGAAGAGTACTTGCTATCGGGTTTATTCCTTTGGTTGAACTATTTGCCACAGTTGATAGAAGAATGGGGAAGAGCAGTTGTGGCCTTAATTGTGATATGATGTGAACTCCTTTCCCTTTCATCAACCCTCCACTGAACTTTGCCCATCAGAGCTGAGCCCTTGGAAGGCAAAGTGTGACTTCTAATGGCAGAACCTTCCTGGGCACAAAGGGGAAATCAGCAGTAATGTAGGTGGAAACTCTTACCTGGGAGGCAGACACTGGTATTCAGGCTCTGCAGTTACCTGCAGTCTAACCTTTGGCAAATTTCTGGACCAAGTTGTCTTCTTTATAATACAAGGCAAATAGGATTGGATGACAAGAGGGATCAGAGCACAAGAACTTCTGCTTCAAGTGAAGTCTTCCAGTGCAAACAAGCAGGTATTTGTGGAGAAGCTCTAGTTGGATTAGGGATGAAACCCTAGATCTGACCCACTGGCCTTCCTGTAAGCCTCCCTCTGGTCCCTAAGGCACTCCCACAGCATCATGAGCTCAGGTGCCCTGTGTCTGAAGATGCTGTTGGCCCTTGGGTTTTTTGTGATTCAGCAGCATAGCTCCTAGCTAAAGATGGAACACCAAGAACCTCTATTCATCTTTTCTCCCTCTTGGGACCCTTTTGAAGTGATAATAAAGAAAAAGGAATGGTTGTCTTGCAACTGATAAATTAATGTCTAGTCTGATTCTAGCCCCTAAGGAGCAGACTTGAAGGAACCCTACAAGAAATTGTGAGGACATCAAGGTATTCTGCACCAATCTCTGTCTTGTGCATATGGTACAGTTTGGTTGACACTGTCAGAGTCAGGATGCTGAATGGGAAACAATGCTAATGGAGAGGGGAATTGTGACAGACATATCTCGTTTGTAGGCACCAGCTGGCCAACCACCAGTGCCACCTTCTCTCATTCAAGACAAGTTAATGGAACATCAGATATATGCCAGGAACTGTTCTGGGTACTGAGGATATACTGTTGAATAAAGCAAAGTTCCTGCCATTCTGGCACTCACATCTAAATGGTAAAAATCCCACTAAGAAGAATTTCTCTTTGCCGTGGGGAAAAGTTTGATCTAGGTTTGCTATCTGAGGTCCCAGATATTATTTTCAATGAAATTTTCAAAGAGGATCTAATTCCAAAGGAGTCCCCTTACTGCTTCTCCACCTCAGAATCTCAGCAGGGAGTTGAGCACAGAGAGTAATATGACACAAATTCATCCATGTCATTGGATAACTTTGCTTAAGCTGCCATTTCCTGGAATCAGACTCTGTGAAGAACATAGACATCTGTTCTATCCTTCAGCAACAAACTGATCTCCAGCCCTGGCCTGACCTTTAACCTTACCATGGGTACACCCTGACCCATAACCTTGGCTGACCCATATCCTTGACTGGCCCATAACCTAAGCCTTCCTGATCTCTTTAATTGTGCCATTCTTCCCAGAAACATGCTTTAATCAACAAGGGCACTAAATGAAGAGTAAGAACTCTGTGAAACCTTCCTGCATCTTCAGAACAGCAATTTGGTGCTCAAGCCTCCACTCTGTCCCAGTACCTGGGGCATTAGTATCAGGATGTCATTTCTGCAGGAAGGACATACCAGGTAATCCATCTCCCTGCCCCATCTCTATGTCAACAGAAGCTAGAGGAAACTTGAGGCCAGTTATGATTTGATTGTTTTTACTAATATTTGCCAGACTTAATGGAGTTGGAATTTAGTGACTGTAACTCTTCTTATAATGGAAATGGTAGAGGGCAGCAGTGGAATGATATTCCCATTGAATGCCTGGCAAGCAGCCCACTGCTCTGGAGACCCTTGGCTGGGTGGGGACTCTTTGCTTTGCAGCTGTGTTTTCTTCTGCTCCTAAGAGATATTCTTTTGTTTCTTTTTATGTTTTTCAGTAGAGAGAATAGCTGGGAAGCAGGATATTGGACGAAGTTGGAAGATTCATTAGAGTGGAAAACTCTAAGGGCAGGGGTTAATTACGGTATAATAAGTCTTCCAAATTTCAGTGGCTTAGGTCAATAAAACGTTCTCATTTAGTCAAAATCCAACACAATTATACCTGTTTGAGCAGCTCTCTTGGCAGAACTCCTCCAGGGAGGGACTGGGATCCAGATTGCAGTGGTATCACTGCTTCCTAGAGACTTAGACTCTCCCAGAGCCCTATAGGCCTCATATAAATTGTCTACATTGGGGTCCAAAGAACAAAAGGACAGTGTGGAGGATTATATGGCTATTTTAGAAGCCAAGCATGAAATGTGTGCCTAAGCCCACCAGTCCCATGTCTCTACTTAGATACAAGAGGGAAAT